GGGGACCTCAACAGAAACTCTGAACAGCATCTGAGCAAAATCTCAAGAGGTGAGTAAATTCAAGATGAGATGAAGGAAAATCGTTAGTAAACAACAGAAGGTAGAAAATAGGCTAAAAATTAAATAAAAGAAATGGCATACCAGAGAATTATTGATGAGTTTTTAAAGGAACAAACAAAACAAAGTTTTAAACAAACAAAACAAAGTTTTAAAGTTTTTAAAGGATCATCAGAGTCCCTGAAAAATAGGAAAGCAAATCTAGTGAAGAAACAATATTTTAAAAAAATCACTTAATCACTTGATCACTTGACATCCTGTTATTCATCGATTCGCTCAAGTGAGCGCCAGTAACGTCTCCATTCATCCTTGTTGCATGCCAATGCAACCCAATGGCATTTGCTCATTCCAGGAACACGAAGAGCCTCAACTTGATCGTTCAAGGTCTTGACAAAAAAGTCTGACCATCTCATAGGTGGGCAGCCATGTGATCTTTTGACGTCCCATGGAATCCAGTCGGTACTGGCTCTAGTCCAGCGGTCATCTCCAAATCTCATTACGTGTCCAGCCCATCTGATTTTCGACGCCTTGGCAAATTAGACAGCGTCCCTGATTCTTGACCATAGACGAAGGTCAGAACTTCGGATTCTTTCTCTCATTTGAGTGAAGCATGATACTCCAGGCATAGCTCTTTCGATTCCTCTTTGGGAGACCCGAACAGCGTTCTCATCATGTTTGTGTAGGGCCCAGGTCTCTGAGAAATTTCCCAGAGTTGAGGAATACAGGCATCAAGATCCAAGAGAACTGAGGGTCCAGGCAAAATTAGATCCAACTAGAAAAACTTTAAGACATTGTATTCAAAATGACATATTCCAAAGATGAAAAGAGAATATTGAAAGCAGCAGGACCAAAAAAGAAAGTTAAATACAAAAGAATGCCATAAGATTTATCAAATTATTTATCAAATCACAGTAGATCTATCAAATGAGACTCTACAAGCCAGAAGAGAATTGAGGATATAATACAAAGTTTCAGCGAAATGAACACCTCACCAAGAATTTTTCTACCCAGCTAGGTTATCATTCAGATTTAAAAAAATGATGCAGAGCTTCATGAACAGGCAACAGATTAGAAAATTCATATCCTTGAAACTAGTTTTCAAGAAGCATTAAAAGAACTTCTTTAAAAGACAGAACACACTTTCCAACATGTGACCTGGTGTGTGCACTCACTAAATAGTGCATATGGTTGTCTGCTACTAGATTTAAAAGATATATTTACTTCTAACTTGCTAAGGGATTTAATACATTTTAATTTTTTTAATTTTTAATTTGATTTTATAAAGTTGTTCACAATAATTTATTACATTTGACATTCCAACGCTAATCCCACCACCATCACACCAATTTCACCACCATTATTTAGAGTATTCCCAACCACTACCCAAGCCAGCCTTAATAGCAAATTCTAAATAATTTATCTTGTATTGTTTGTTATGAATAATTCTCTAAAAATGATCATAAAATGATAACCTTAGAAGAAAGTGTGTGAAGATTGTTGTATTTCACTCTGGAGCCATTGAACCCTTGTATAAGAGATTACTAACATGTTGTGACAGGTTGAGTCTTGTGTGCTTATATATTTTAATTGAGATTGGTTGCCTTCTACTTTGCATCCTATCCAATATGTGTTGCTCCTGGCATATCACTGGTATAAAGTATGAGACATCCTGTGGCCACAAATGCAGTCACATGCTCCAGCAATTTTAAAATTTTAAATAATACAGTTGGAGTTAAATTTTTAATGGGATGGTGACTTTGGGGCCTGGAGGCATTTCTGAAGCTTGTTGATCTTTTAAAAGATTTATTTGTGAATCTCTGGATCATGTCTGGTTGACGAGCTTTTATGATGCCAGAGACATTTACTAGGCATGACTGCCAGGTTCCAGGAAGTACAGGAGGATGGAGAGAAGTCACCCCTTCTGACTCCATGAGAGCCTGGAGATTTCAGTCACAAAAACTGCATACTTGAGTTGTTCAACAGATTCATTTATGGATGAGGCCCATCCGAACCTGTGGACATGGACTATGAGCATGGCTGCGATTGGATTCTGGAAGTTTTGGGCTGCCGGGAATTGATTTGGGTGCTTGGAGCACTCACTTGCCCCAGCTCCAGGGTACCCCAGCACGGCACAGATTCTGGAGGTATCTCTGGAGCTTGTTGATCTCTTCTGATATCTATTTGTGAATCTGGATCATTGCCAGTTACTATATGTTTTCAATAATGAAGTAATATCTCATTTACACCAATTATTCTAAGCTTGATTAGGTTTTTTTTACATCCAAAGTTGAATTTCTTTATTTGCATGGTTAAAATCATATGGCAATCAAGCATTACAAATTGAATTTTACTGATTTATTTTTTGAAAATTTGATGAATTAATTTCATTCTTTAAGTTCTATTGGAACAATTAATTTGAAATAAATTTTTATATACCTACCAAGGAGGCAGGTTGGGGTGGAAAGGAACCTGAGGACTTTAGTGTGCAGAGGGGGACACTGGTGGTGGGATTGATGTTGAAATATTGTATTCCTAAAACACCTCTATTTTGAACATTGTTGTAAATCACGATTATCTTAATTAAAAATAAAAATTTAAAAAAGAAATACTAATGACCAACAGGCACATGAAGAAATCCACTATATTACTAATCATCTGGAAAATGAAAGTAAGTAAGGTATCGCCTCACACCAGAGAGACTGGTACTTATCAAAAAGAATAACAGCAACCAGTTTTAGCATAGATGCGGGGGAAAAGGGAACCCTTATTCACTGGTGGTGGGAATAATCCTACCCTTCTGGAAGACAATATAGTCATGCCTAAGAAACAAACAAAAAAACCCAGGAATTGTGCTTCAAAACAACCCAGCAATACCAATCCTGAAGTGTATCCTTAATGACCAAAAAATCATTGCATATAAGACCTCTGTACTCCTATGTTCACTCACAATAGCCAAATTCAGGGGAGGGGAACCCAACACCCAAAATTGTGTTCCCAAACAGATGATGGATAAGGAAGCTATGATACACATATAGACATCAGAATCTTCTCAGCTCTAAGGAAGGATGAAATCATGCCATTTATTGGTACGTGAATGGATCTGAAATATGTCATGCTGGGTGAAATGAGTCAGAGGACAAGGAATTGACAGAATAATCTCACTAATATGCAGGATGTAAGGAAACACAGTAGGGGAACAACTAATGCCCAAATAAAAATAGAAGTAAAGAGAAGAATTTTTCCTTAGAGGAAAGTTTCCCACCACAGGGGTGGGGATAGGTCAGGGAAGAGACCACTATGATAGAAGGAAGTGATCACTCTGGATGGGGACTGGGTGCTGAAAGGAGGTAAACTGATATGCATTATATTTTATCAGTAACATTACTATGAAACAGTACCCCCCCCCCAAAAAAAAACCAAGTGCTTTCCATGGAGGCATGCACCCAGGTGGGCTAGAGGGAAATTGGGGACACTGATGGAGGGAAGTGGACACTGGTAAAGGGGTTAATGTTGGAATATCAAACATCTAAACAAAGTCATAAATAATTTTGTAACTTTGTAATTCATAGTCATTCAGTTAGAAGACAAACAAGTCTGCAAAAACCAGTACACAAAAATTCACTGAAAACCCAACTGCCCATCAACTATGATTGTATAAATAGAATATTCTGTCCATGCAATGGAACATTATTAATTCATATGAAGAAATAAAGTTCTGATGCATTCTACAATATGAATGAACCTTGAAGACTTCACAGTAAAAAAATAAAAAGGCATATTATAGCATATATTATAATTTTATTTTTATGAAATCCCTTTTAGGGAGATTCATTGAGACAGACAGTAAATTCAGGATTTTCTGGAGTAAGAGAAGGGGTAAACGAATTACAAAGATGTTCAGGGTACTAAAAAGCACAAAATATTGAATTATAGAGAAAGCTTATCCAATAATAGTGTGAATTCTAGACTGGGAAGACAGCTCAAAAGGGTAGAGTGCAATGCCTTGAATGTGTAAGGCTACGGGTGGTCACTGAGCACTTCCTGAGCACTGATAGTCAAGCACTGTTCTGTCAGGTCTGTAACAATGCCAGGTAGAATAGTGGTAGAAGTGGCTTCTCATCCTTCAATCACTGCTTAAAGATCCCCATAAAAAAATTAGGAGCACTGGGGCTGAAGCGATAGCACAGCAGGTAGGGCATTTGCCTTGCACACAGCCGACCCAGGTTCTATTCCCATATGGTCTCACGAGCACCGCCAGGAGTAATTCCTGAGTGCATGAGCCAGGAGTAAGCCCTGTGCATTGCCGGGTGTGAACCAAAAAGAAGTTCAAGGCATGCTTTGAATGTTTGGTTTCCTGAGTTCCATATTTTTTAATATAGAAATAATCTACATAACAAAGAATCTAATTTTTGTGCCAGAGATTAAGAGAACAGCTTATTGTTCAGGAGTACGAGTCTGGCAAACTAAGACCCAAAATCTAATCCTAGAATGATATGATCCCCTGAGCAAAAACTGGGTTGTCCTACTGGACTCCAGTACTGCCAGGCTGAGTAGCACTATATCATTGGTCCAATCACTGAATCGCCTGGCCTGGTTGGCAAAATATCACCATGAATGGCCCCCAAACCTCTAAGCTTTGGGGCTCCCCCTCAAAAATATGAAAAACAAACAACTAGAAATAATGATCAACCAACAAATAGGCAGGCCAGAAGAAGTCATTCACTCCAAAGAGAAAATCAGGGTACAACATATATTGTTAATTTTATCATACCTTCAGTCTTAAAATCCCATGCACCTTGTTTTGGTTTGGTATTTGGACCACATCAAGCAGTTCTCAGGGCTTAATGCTGGCTTTGTTCAGATTAGTCCTGGTGGTGCTTGAAAACCATATACAGAGCTAGGTATCAAACCTGAATCAACCACATGCAAGGCGTGTGCCTTACCCACTGTACTAGCTCTCTGGTCCCCCAAATCCAATGCACTCTTATTGCAGCTTTTAAATTTTCCTTTCCTTTCTCTCTCCCACTCCTTCTTGCCTCTGTCCATTCTGTTTTTCTTCTCTTTTCTTTCTCTTTCTTAACTGGTTGAGTCCTAAAAGGGGGAAAAACAATACAAAGTTCTATACATTATCCAAAAGTAAAACAATAAGACCTGTCTTAAGCTGAAATGGTATAAAGCAAAAAATAATTACTATTCATTCATTATTCAACGTGGAAAAATTTTAGTACTACCAGACTCACAAACAAACCTACCAAATTACATAAAACTCACGTCAAACCAAGAATAACACATTGCTAGTAAAAGCAAAAAATATTTTGATTAAAAACACAACCTATAAAAAAATAATTCCCTGGGAAGGAGCTTGGTGGGGCCACTCTCACTGCCACAGGTGCTACTGTCACTAGAATGCCTACTGCAAAATACATATTAGATGCTTTTGCTACCTCGTGTCTTTTTTATTTTATTTAAAAAATTACTTCTTTCATTCCTCTTTTTATTAAAACACCGTGATTTACAAAGTTGTTCATAATAGAGTTGTTTCAGGCATGTAATGTTTCAACACCAATTGCACCATCAACGTTCCCTTCCCTTTACCAATGTTCCCAGGTTCCCTGACACCCCACAGCCTGCCCGCTTGGCAGACATGTAACAAATTTATTTCATATTCCTTGCTCCAACAAAAATTAACGACTCTAAATAATAATGGTACATCTTTTGTCGAAACAATGAACCTAATCAAAGTAGATAGAATGCTAACTAGAATTCATCTGCCTCACAGGCATTAAGAGGGTTGGGAGAGGGCGTTTATCGGGGTTCTTGGTGGTGAAAAATAAGTACTGGTGAAGGGAAATGTGTTTGATAATTGCATGACCGAGACTTAAACCTGAAAGCTTTGTAACTTTTCCCACAGTGATTCAATAAATTAAAAAAAAATATATATATATATATATATATATACTGTCACCCAATATTAGTGACATATTGAGAACCCATCGTTTAATAACTGCACTGATTAAATCTTTATGAATAGAAAAAAACTTAACAAAATGGCAAATGGAATTATCAGAAAGTGAATCGAAAGTCAATTTTCGGTGATTGATTGCTATGTGATCTTAGCCTATGTAGAGAGAGAAATCCCAAATATTTAATACAATATAATATACTGCCTATTCTCATTTACAAAACTAAGTTTTCAAATCTGGAATCTAAAATATATTGCATTAAATTTTATTTTGTTCTTGGATCACTTTGTGGTAATCATCATGCCCTCCAAGTCACAAATGAAGCTTTTTCTTTTTACCTCGTAGATAGGCATATAACAATTTTGTATTACTTGGTCCAAAAAAAAATTTTAAAGAATGGCAAATAGAATTACTAGAAAATAAATCAATAAAAGTCAAGCTGTGATGATTGCTATATGTTTTAACGATTCTTAATCCAGAAGAAGACAATCATATGCTCCATTAGTGAGTGCCATACTCAATGCCACATGATGGGAAGTTTCTCCTATCTTTTAAAGAAGCATTTTTAATGCTTCTTGAAAAGCTGATTTCAAGGCTATGAATTCCCCAAGCTGTTGCCTATCCATAAAGCTCTATACAGTACTTTCAAATCTGAATGGTAATCCATTTTGATAGAGCATTCTTGGTAAGGCATTCATTTCACTGAGTTTTTATATGCGACCATCAGCTAGCACTACTGCTAACCGCACAAGCACCATAGGTCTCACAGCAACTCCTGGTCATTGCAACAGGAGGAGCAGCAACAATAATGAAGGGTAGAAGGAGGAAGGAGGATCTTAAATAATATCATTCCATATTATTCTAACAGTAGGCGGGGGTCACACCCACCAACTGGCCCCCTGGCGCCGTGTAATCCCATCAACGGCCAAGACTCAGAGACTATAAAAACCAGCTCCCGGAACCACACGGCCGCATTCGCGGCTGCGCGACATCTTATTATGACATCTTATTATCTCATTCCTACTTTGGACAAACTGGCAGGCTATCGAATGTAGCCTGCCCACACGGGAGAGTCTGGCAAACTCCCCGTGGCGTACCCAATATGCCAAATACCAGTAACAATGATGGGTCTCATTCTCCTAAAGAGCCTTGAATATAATCTCAGGGCTAGGATGAAAGAGACGTTACTGGGGCCTGCTCGAGGCAATCGACGAGTAACAGGATGATTTGTGATTTGTGTGTGATTTGTAGAAGTCTCATTTGATAGATCTGCTGTATATCTTATGGGCTTTCTTTTGTATTAAGTTCCCTTCTTTCTCTAGCCACTTTCAATATTCAATCTTTGGATTTTGTAATTTTGAATATGACTCCTGGGGTTTTTCTAATTGGGTCTATTTTCAATCGGACCCTTCAGGCTTCTTGGATCTCAGGGACTGTAATCCTTAACTCTAGTAAGTCCTTATTGATCATTTCCTGACTATTGTTTCTTCATCACATTTGCATTCCTCTCCTTCAGGGACTCCAATGATTCTTACATGGGACATATTGAGAACCCATCGTTTAATAACTGCACTGATTAAATCTTTATGAATAGAAAAAAATGTTGTTCCTCTTGAACTCATCCCATAGTTCTCTGGTGTGCTTTCCACTTCTTTTAGACTATTTTCCACTTTCTGCTAATTCCTAGCACTATTCTCCTCCTCTTGGAGCTTCTCAATCTTTTGCTAATCTTCTGTTATTCTGCCGTTCAGAGCTTTAATTGACCTTTTTATGTCACCCATCATCTTCTTCACTTCTATCATTTCTGACTGTAGTAGATTTTTCATTTCAACTCTCAACTTGTTTTTGTTTTGTTGATCACAGGTGTTATCATTTATTTGAACATCCTTATTGTACTGTCACTAATAACACTGTCTGAGGATTTACTGATGTTTATATTTTCATTGATATTTTTTTCACTCACTGAGCTTGTTGGCATCAGAGCCTGGAAGATTGTATGTCTCAACCAAGGAAAAGTGTGGATTCTAGTGAATATGTACATAAGAAATACAACTACAGGACTGAAAATCTCAGTAACCAGAGCAATGAGTATGAGAATACCACAACCTGATAGGACCTCTAGCAAGCACGACTATTAAAAGTTCAAGCACCATGGTCTGACTGCAACTTCTGATCATTACAGTAACTTCAGTAGCAACAACAACAATGAAGGGAAGAGGGAGGAAGAAGGGATCTTAAATAAATAAATCCAGTTGCCATCCCTATGGTCACGGTCCTCCCATTGTTCATCGATTTGCTCAAGCGGGCCCAGTAACATCTCCATCAAGAGACTTGTTGTTACTGTGTTTGGCATATTCAATACGGTCATGGGAAGCTTGCCAGGCTTTGCCATGCGGGCAAGATACTCTCGGGTAGCTTGCCGGGCTCTCCAAGAGGGGCAGAGGTATCGAACTCGGGTTGGCCATGTTGGCTGCGAGCAAGGCAAACGCCCTACCTGCTGTGATATCGCTCCAGCCCTACTGTGGAAAAATCCTTTATTTCAATTTTTTCACCTGTCAAGCAGAAGAACAGCAAAACTTATATCATGAAGTTCCCCAGTGCACAACAAGAACTTAGTAAGTGTCTGACAAATAAAAAGAAAGAAACCTATGGTCTCTGACTAGGTATAAGGCTCTCCAGAACTTGCCTGTAGTTAATAATACACTTAGTTTGATACAGTTAGATAATTAATATTCCTTATATTGTCTTATAATTACAAATAAACACATGTTCATTGTTCCTTGGTGATATTTAAATTGATTACATAATCTTGTACATCATTTAAAAGCATTTGACTATAGGACAATACTGAAACTACATTTTTGTAGATACAGTAAATATTCCAATTTGACTATTTTCTTGCAATACTCTTTGCCTTTTGCTAAAGGAATAAGGGAAATTATCATTCTCATTTTGAGGGATAGAAAAGAGGGCTAGGACTTTTGGTTGCAGATGGCAAGTATCCCATCCAAAAATTTAAGTTAAGAGAAGGGAAAGTACACTTCTGAGGTCAAATTCCTGGGAGGATCTCCAGAATAATTGGTTTCACGGATTCACAGGACAACAGAGTGCCTGTGTCTCTCAATGGCAGGTGGCCTCTTCCCAGGTCAGAGGCATTTGCTGACCTCCTAGTTTAGCAATCCATCTTGGCTGGCAAGTCTCATCAGGATCACATGGCAGAGGGAAAGTGAGGTTTCCCCAAAAGATGAAATACAGGACATGAGGACTGGCAGATGAAAAATGAGCACATATGCTGCCTAAGCCCATGTGCTGCCTGTGCCCCATGTGTTACTACTAAATGCATGTGGTGCCCAAGCACATGTGTTGCCTGCATCTTTCAAACTTGAATGTTGGAATGTATACTGGGGCATTCTCTCCACTCTGGAGAAGAACTTGTTCTCTCTTGAGTGGGTTATTCTCTCTCCAAATAAAATTTGTACATCTCTTTCTGAAATTCTTTTCTGAGCAGGAAAGGCAAAGGATCAGAAAGAACTGGGTAAGGCCTAGGACTGACTTTTCTTTCCTGAAGAAGGAAGGCTCACAGTCCTAGATTTCTCCTGCTTTTCCTAGGTGACAGAGACACTCCCCTTTGCTACTTACAAGTCACCCTGGGGATCCCACTGGCATCATTATGTGGTGACCAGGAAGAGAAGGCCATGATGCAGTGAAGATCTTCAAAAGGAAGGATGAACATCTCCTGTGAAGGTATGCTTTTTGGAAGAAAACTCTGGTGAGAGGATTGTACTGTTTAATCCCTGTGTGAAAGTGTTTTCAGGAGGCACTTCCCTTCTTCCTTATACTTCTCTAGCATCACCAACCTCAGTGGGAAGGACACTAGAGAAATCCACTAGTGTTTAAGAACTTCAAGCTTGGGGGATTATGTCATAAAATCAGCCCCCAGGCAGAAACCCTTTCTCCTACCTCTGCTCTTTGTTCAACAAAGGGAGTTGGCTAGAGATCACCAGAAGGAAACTGAGATGTAATTCAATTCAATTTAATTCAGGAGGACCAGCAAGCAGGTTCAGGAAACAGCAAACTAAAGGCAGGCAGAAATAACCAGTGAAAAGATGCTGTAAGTTTGCAAGACAG